GGTTTTTACGTATATTTTTTTATAAGTAGTGCTTTTATTGTCAATAAAAAAATGAAATTATTAACTAATTGAACTCTACACCCCGGGTCATTTGGTTTAAGGGATTAAGAGTACAGGGTTATGGGTCTAAAGTACTTGGGGTAAAGGTTTAAGGGGCTTAAGAGCTTGAATTTAAGTTGATTGGGTTTAAAACGTTTGAATTTACCGCTAGGCGGGTGTGTCCCGTTTGGACATCAGGGCGATCAGGGTGAGATTACATGGACCAAAAGAATATCCTACACTTGTCAAATTCATGTCTAAGCTTGACGTAAGACACACGAGTAAGCTTAACATAGAGATATAAATGAAGCTTAATTATGTTCACATGGGGCGCAATAGAGCGAGCAGGATAGGAATTTCTCCATAAGCGGCTGTGTTAAGTCTACTATTGCGCCGCGCAATAGGGCTATCCTGCAGCGCAATGGACTTTTAACCACAGCCGGTTATGGAGAAATTCCTATCCTGCTCGCTCTATTGCGCCCCATGTGACTGCGGCCTAAGACAAGTTTAGGATATTCTTTTGGCCCATGTAATCGCAGCCTTATTCGGAGTGAGTCTGAGTCCTTTATAGGTATTATGTGAATACATGTATAGTGTTTCTCGCTACTACATAGTGTATTTAGCCATACGTTGGTTGATTAACGGTAGGTGTGAAACGGTAGGAAACTCGGTAGATTTTAATGAAGCTCAAATTCCCTCCAGAAAAAAACTTCATTTATTGATGAAAATTTTTGTCCAGAGTGGGATTTGAACCTCGGATCTCGGCCATCAAGATCTGTAGGCAGACACGCTACTGACAGAGCCATCATCATGTGGCTATCAAAAGACATCTATAAGTTTATAAGAAATCTTTAGACAAAATGTATGCTGGGTTTATATGTACACATACTAACTTATTTACTTAATAAGTAATCTGATAAGTAATTGGACCGACCGACCGATCGAAAAAAATGTATTGATTCTATTCATGCCTAATACCTACCTATATACACTACATGTGTAATTGTGTTATTGTGTATACGTATAGTATACTATTTTTTATTATTGTACATCCGTATGTACTTACATCGATTATCTTCGCACTGGTGTCTACATTGTGAAATGTGAAGGCAGTGATGAATATACTTATATAAGTATAGATACTAGATAAGTATAGGTACTAGATAAGAGAGAGAGAGAGAAAGAGAGATGATCAAAAGTTATCCTAAATGACGTCTGAGACGTTTTCTTTCGCGTCTGTCAGAAATAACTTAATATATACTTTACGTATTCCATACTTTGTACACTGCGGTGAAATTGTACGTCATTCGTACAACGTACAACAAAGGGACAGAGAGAGAGAGCTGCTGTTATAGATAAGGAAATAAAAATCAGTTCCGTATTGTGTATACACTGTGTACCGATGTAATTTACAAAAGAGCACGGGTGTTGGAAAACAATAAAATGCAATGCCTCCGATACCCCGGGGTATGCGTATCATGTTGTTCATTGTTTCCGTTAAGTACGCTATCTGGAGTATTTACTACTTGGACACCTCTGCTACTGTGCTGACTACGTCAGAAGAACAAGCAACTGCATCAGTTACAAAAACATCAGGAGCAGAAGGTAACGTGAGAATTCTTTGCCTATCTGCCCATCCATCTCGCTCCCAAAATATATCTAAATTTAATGGAGATAAATGTCAGCTGGAGCACCAAGAGTAGATCGATTTTCTCAATAGGTACTTGAAATACTTAGTGTTTACCAACATAAATATCTAATTTTTTCTCTCTTTGTGCATTTGTGTGTGTGAGTGTGTTTGTGTGTATACAAGAAAAAAAAAGAGCTGATGACAGGAATGACTGATGAGGATGATTCGAACTTACTCTTGCAGCTGACTCAGAGTCTCAGCTCTCAGGGATCAAGTAGACTAGATAGTAGATAGTATGTGTGGGTAGATATTTTGACACTAAGCTAATGCTACACTATATATGTATACGTTGTTGTCTGCAACTAGTGCAACCAGCAATTTTACACATTGTACCTACTTATGGCTGTTCTCTGTGATTTGCACTCTTGCACTGAAAATAAACCAAAATTTTAGGTTACTGTGTGTATTGTGTCATCTCACACTTTTAGTTTTAAACAAAAAAAGATTTTATTTTTTACGACAAGCTTTTCTTATAACATTCATAAGCTCGAAAATTTATACTTTTGAGATAGTGTGATATGTGCCTATATCCATGAGTAGTTACCTACATACATTAAACATTTTATGATACACTATACATATATATCGTGGATGATATTGTCAACATTCCCTTAAAAGAGTACAATGATGATAAAAGGCTTGAGATACGTGGTGAAAAAAACATGTGATTTATCATTCTCTGCCAGTGCAAATAGCTACTTTTATTTATTTTTTACATTAATTCAATATAGACTCTCAATCTAGTATTGATGATTCTGAGTTATAAATAGTATGTCAAGCTTTGCAATTAATATTTCATTACTTATACCCGTTTTCATTAAATGATATAGTAGAAATCACTGGTTGTGAAATTGTTGAATATTGTTTTAACCAATTACCAATAAAGAAAACATCATTTCATGTGCTTTCAACTGTTAACATGAATTCTTTGTTTTGCTAGAGTCTTGAAGAGTAAAGCTATCATGAGGTGAGAGTGTCAAAAAATCAATAAAGAAAATCAGTATGTATGGAGAGGGAGAGCTGGAAGTCTCCGAAGGATGGAGGTACATTAGAGACTTGAGCACAACGACAGATCCTAACACAAGTTCCGGTGTTCGAGATGAGGAACACTTTTGTAAATTGATACTCTACAAGGAAATACAAGACACTAGGTACGCCATTTATTTTTGTCCTTTAAAGAACAATCAAAATCTATTTAAGTGAAACTTATTCCAATGTATTTATTTCCGGCAGGATAAGAATATGGGATGTCATAATTTTAATACCAAATCTCTTATTCCTCCTATTCATCATAGCGAGATTCAATAGAGCCAGGCTCAAACTTAGAGCAACAAGCAGTCCCATATACCTAGCTTTTTACGGTCTCGTCGTTTGCAGTATTGTGATATCAGTTATTCGCTGCGTTGTGTCAATGATGGTCAATGCAGCCGGTGATGTTGGTGGTGTGGTAGACAAAGTGTTGTGGGTCACAGTCAGGTTTTTCTTGCTCTCCACTGAAATGAGTGTTGTCATATTTGGCCTTGCGTTTGGTAAGTATTATTATCCTCAACAATGAGAAAACTGTTACAGTTTTTTACTTTTGTAATTATTTCTTAGGTCACTTGGACAGTCGTTCTAGCATACGCCGAGTCTTGTTGGCCACGTCCTTTATAGCCCTGATTTTTACCATAAGTCAAGGAACTCTCGAATTTATTTTGCCGGATGACACATTCCGCATACCTAGCCGAGATTTTTATGTTTTCGGCCATGGAGGAACGATGTTTTGGTTTTGTAGCAGCATCGTTTTTACAACGGTAAAAAAGGAATTTTTCTGTTAATGGGTTTTACACAGTGTTCAAAAAATAGTAATCGTATTTCTTTGGTCCGAATTTCAGATCTATCTATTCATATTGATACTACCTTACACGAGATTACGAGAGAGACTAACACTGCCTTGTAGGTTTATTTTCATATTCAATTATTTCTTGTCAAAATAATGCATATTTCCTATGCAACAAACCTATGTTATAAACGTTATTTCACAGCTCGTAAGGGTTTTTACGTATATGCTGCCCTCCTCGCAATGATGAATTTAGTTCAATCGGTAGGAGCTGGCCTTTTAAACTACACTCAAAAGCTCGAGGGATTGTGCGTCATCGATTTCACTGCTGTACTATACCTGACTTTGTTCACGCCACTAGTTTACCATACGTTCCTTTCGGAATTCCTTGGGTAAGAAAACGCATCATTCCAAAAAATATGTTCAAGACGACATAAAAATAATATAAACCTCCTCCATGTTTGTGGGCGTCTCGTTTTTACAGAGTATCGCAGCCATCGATAATGTTCTCCTACAAAGCCCAGGTGGACGACACAATGGACGAGGACACAGTGTCACTGCCGCACCAGCAGAGCTTCTCCTCGCTCAAGACGGACAGCGACTACATTTACCAGGTCCATACCCCGCGTTTTCACGCTCCGCTCTTTCACTCCCAGTGCCTCGCGAAGCCCTCCTTTTCCAAATCCAACCGCTTGAAAAGCAGCTCCTCACACGCGACTCTGCTCTACCACGAGTACTCGGCCCAGCGACGCCTGCACCCTCAGTCTCGGCTCAATGTTCAGACCAGCGCGCCAGATTTAAGACTGACAGCCTCCAGCCGCACGATAGCCGACAGTCAAGAGAACAAGGACGAGGCAGCGAGTGATTCCGATTTGCTCTTGTCACCCAGCACTGCTAGTGAATTCGTTTTCGAGCCCCAAGAAAACCACAGCAAAGCCAATTTGTTTCCCTGTGGTTACAAAAGTGACAGTGCCGTCGAGGAGGCCAGAGGAAGAGCTCGGCGCTTTGCTGACGCAGCTGGGCCAAGTGAAAACGTCAGCAGTGGCTCTAAAGACAAGCCGAGGTTGTCAGAGTCAGGAGAGCAAGAGTACAAGACTGAGGAGAAAAAGTCAGGCGCGGGTGTGAGCGATTATTTGAGACACGTGCGAAATGAAGAAAGCAACGATGGTGCGGACAGTAACGTCCAAGTTATGCTTTCGCAAAAGTCGAAGAAACCGTCCGCGGACTCTTTGTCGTCGTCCTCTTCGCAAAGCGAGGCGCTGTGAACTGAAATTCGTTTATTTTCCACAAGACTGACTTTGTTTGTGCGAACGGTGCTTTAGCTGTTTCGGTGCTTTGTTGTTATATTTTCAAAATTATCCTGTGCTTGTGAGTGATAGTGTCTAAAAAATCGCATTATTTGAAAATAATTTTCTTTCGCGAGCTTGTTAAGTTAATTTTTTCTAAAATTTTATCTCTAGTATTATTTGATACTTTTTACTTTTTATTAAGTGCAACAATGATTTTATTTTATTTCTTTTTCTTGAAAAGTGATTGTTTCAAACAGTGCATATTCTCATGAAGAATATTGAACAAAAATAGCGATTACAAAGAAATTCGTCAAGAACATTATGGTGTATTAAATAAGGACATTTAAACTGTGAAACGTTATCCCAAAGGAAAGAGTTCAAAAACGTGGTATTATAAAGAAAGACTGCATTGTATGAAGTGCATGGAACGTCGAGTCTTTTATACGATTCGGTCGATTTGCAAATTGTTTTTTTCCTTACTCTTAATCAAAAGTGATACATCCTCTTGCCTGATTCTTTAAATACTTGTTCATATACATATATATAAGTGTGTGTATACGCCGATACATACAATCAAAAGTTAATCTTGAATTTTCTAATTAAACGTTTGTTGTTGTAGTCGATGTAATTTGTTTTATTTACTCATAACTCAATCGAGGCATTTGTTGGTGCACAATTTTTAGAAACCCTTAGATCTTGGCTTATCAAATATTCACCAAATTCAAAATTACAAATTACTTGAACTATACCAACAAATGTCTGGATATCTTCTGTTTTATCCTTCTATCTGATATAAACAAACTATTGCAAGCTTTTAAATCGGTAATGATGCACAATCTGTCGCCCTTAATGTACTGCTGTAAATTATCAAAAAACCGTAAAAAAATTAATACTAACTTTAACATTCATGAGAAAACTATTGAGCAGTAGAATAATGAAAACAGTGCTGTCCAACAAAAAAAAAGAGTGTCATATTTCCTGCTTACAGAGCCACAGCGTGTACGACTCAACGCAGTTCGATATGAACTCGACGCCGATCAATCCATTATACGCAGCATCACTTCAGAGCCCGGATAGCATCACCGGCTACAGCATAGACAGCACCACCAGCGTCCACGAGATGCAGCAGCAGCAGAAAGAAGCAAATGGCTATCAGCAATAAGCTTTTTTCTGCTGCTTTATTTTATATACATATATTTTTTTTTATTAAAATTTTATAGTGAACAAGAGACACCTCTTACAATAACAAAAATTGAATTTACTTGGTGTAATTTTTATTGGTTTTTATCAATATTAAGGAGAAAGTATTAAAATAAAAATAGTGAGAAAGCTTTCGAATGATTCTAGTCGACGCAGTAGCAATTGTTTTATCTTACATTGAACGATGTATTGTTTTATATGTTTACATATACGTAAATGATAAGAAGAATTATTACATTGAACGTATTGTTTAATATTCGTGTTTTTGCCTAGACAAATACATTTTTTTTTAATTCTTATCAATTTTTATATATACTACAAATATAATTATCTTAGTAGTCAAAGTATTTTATCAGGTATGCCTTTTCAAATGTACATTTAAAAACATTTTGATAAACAGCGACTGTGAAATTTTTTGTATTCGCTTTATTTAAAAACTTTTTTTATGCAACTGTAAAAAATAAATTTTAATCGTAGAATAGTCTTATTTTTCTGTTTAAATAATTTATTCTTCATAAACATTATCATCGAAAACTTTTTATGTTATTAATATCGGAGGAAACTTAAGGGAATGTCGAAGTGAAATAGATCTCAATTGTTTTGACATTGTCTGATACATAAACATTATTATTTTAAATGCAATAGCTCCGATGTCCTCTTAACTGACTCAAACCTTCGCTCCGTCCTACTTATAACAAATTTTCTTTGACAGTAGCGATTTTTCACCTCTGTTATAAATTGAAACTTTACAAGAGTCAATTGAACAATTTACAATGAACTATGAACAAACGAGAATTTCTACTTATTATTGTGGAATAATTTTATTTTATGCGACGACTTTCATACTAATGGAGAAAACTTTTGTATTTAATTATTAACTACAACAGTATATGTTAATCGTGTGAAGTCTCACGATGAAAATCCGTAGGAATTTTATAACAACATGGCACTGTGCTAAATAAAAATTCAAGTATAAAAATAAAATTATCTCAAAAATCTAGACTGCATAAGTTCTGTACATATGTTAAAGACGAATAAGATAACATTCATTACTGCAAAATCAGTTTTCTTTTGCGTAACTCAAGAATTAAATTTTTTAAAGTCTGGCTTATATTTAGATATTGTACAAAAAAAAGTACTCATGCTGTTAAAAAAAAAAAAAAAAAAAAAAAAACTTAACGATTGTACAATGATGATGTATTCACGTGCGCGAGTTTTTTTGTATGAAGAATGGATTTAACAACCAATAAAGATTAAGATACTTGCAATAGTCAATGGCAAACATCCACTCGTTATGTAGTTATTGACAAATATTCTTGCAATATACCAAGTAACTTAGATGTCAGTAAGTTTAAATGAGGTCAATAGATTAAAAGACAAAAAGTATTAAATAATGCATTGTTTTTCATTGTTTGGTTACCAACACAAAAAATACTGATTTCATGAAAAGGTCTAAGACGATCAAAATTTTTTATTTTTTTTTTAAGAAAAAAAAAATAGTTGATCTAATGAGTAACTAGGTCGTATTGACCAGACGCCGGAGATTTTGGCCTGCATTTGCCGGGCGGGAGTAATGTTTTGATTGATTCTTGAACATTTTTTACCGTAAATTACGATTATCGTTACCCGCAATCTGTAAAAGTTGTGCTTCATTTTTTAATTTAACAATTCATTGGAAAAAAGTGACTGTTTCACATTTTGCTTTATATCACCTTTCCTGTGCATTTTTTGTAATACATACCTATGGAGTTTTTTGTTCCTTACTTGATTATCTCAAAAGAGAGCCCAGGTAAAAGTCGCTAAGCATTTTAGTTCAACGGTAAATAGCATTCAAAGTTAAAAATGTGCTTCTTTAACATATTTAATATCTCAAGAACAATAATAACTAGAAACTTGAGATTTTCTGAAATTATTAATATAAATAATATCAACAATCGCACCAAGCTTTATCAAAATCGGTTTTGAACTTTTCAAGTGATTGACGATTCCTTTTTTTCCTTAGTTGCAAAATATCCCTAAACTTGTACAAAACAGTTAGACCTTCCAAACTAAGCCAGAAAATTTTAAAAAATATTGATTTCGACCGATTTTACAACGATTTTATAGCGACACTACTTTTAGACTTGCGTATAAAACTATATACTAGCAGCCCCCCGTCTCGGCTTCGCCCGAGACTTACTAAATAGAACACCGTATAGTGTGTTGACATGTAATGAGAAACGTTTTCAGTTAAAAATTTTACATTTATTCCTGTCACTTCTCAGAACAAAAAGCTTCTTACTAAAAACTTATTTGTTCGTAATCCATACAGTTTGTTTGGTCAAATAATAAGCTGTAAAAATTAAAAAACAGATAATTGTGCTGAAAAGTACCGTGCGTTCTTTATGCCATAAAATAATCGGTGGCCATAAGAAGCCGTTGATTTACAGTTTCTCCCGTGTAATTCACGAAAACGGCTATTTTTTAAAGCTGTTAAGATTTTAAACCCCCAAAAAATTTATGTTAAAAAAAATTTTTTTTCTCATATCTCACAACTTTATTACCAGAGCAACAAAGTCCTGGACCTTGAACCCTACATTTTTATTGCCACAAAAACACAAATACATTTTCTACTTATTTAAAAATCTGAAGTAGGATCTTTAAAGATTTC